TCCCAGATCACCCAACATCTTGCCTAGTGTTTTGCCTACATAATCTATTTTATAAAACACATTGTACAGGGAAGAATCTTTGTGTTTCTCCAAGAAGTGTCAAACACTGTTGCTGCAGAGCCTATAACAAAAGTCTGCTACATGAACCAATTATCTAGTGAAGCATACAGCCAATGTGCTGCAAAGCACATCAGCCCAGTTTGGCTCCTTGACACTTCACCAAGAAACACTATGCAAAACAAGGGTTTTTGAACACACCACAGGGCAGAAATGTTACCCAGTACCAGGCAGGTTTTCTTGAGGGGACAGGTGTTAGAACTGTCAAAAAAAAGATAACACCACAAACAGTGTAACACAGTTTAAAGTGATAAAGGCTTACTAAATTATTTTTTTTTAGTTGTCACCTGATAGTACCTCTGGTACATACACATCCTTTCTCCGTTTGCTTAACAGAACAGCAGCCATTAATAAATTTTCATTCTTCTTAAATATTTTGTCTCTGAATTTCAGTGAACTACTGTGGTAGGTTGACCCTGGCTGGATGCCAGGTGCCCACCAAAGCTGCTCTATCACTCCCTCCCTCAGATGGACAGAGGAGAGAAAATATAATGAAAAGCATGTGGGTTGAGATAAGGACAGAGAGAGATCATTCTCCAATTACCATCAAAGGCAAAACAGACTCGACTCGGGGAAAAAAAATAATTTATCACCAATCAAATCCGAGTAGGATAATGAGAAATAAAACCAAATCATAAAACACCTTCCTGCAACACCTTCCTTCTTCCCAGGCCTAGCCTTACCTCTGATTTTCTCTACCTTCTCCCCCCAGTGGCACAGGGGGATGGAAATGTGGGTTGCGGTCAGTTCATCACACATCATTTCTGCTGCTCCTTCCTCCTCAGGGAGAGGACGCTTCATACTCTTCCCATGCTCCAGGGCTCCGTCCCATGGGAGACAGTCCTCCATGAACTTCTCCAATGTGAATCCTTCCCATGGGCTGCAGTTGTTCATGAACTGCTCCAGCGTGGGTCCCTTCCACAGGGTGCAGTCCTTCAGGCACAGACTGCTCCAGTGTGGGTCCCCTGTGGGGTCACAAGTCCTGCCAGCAAACCTGCTCCAGCGTGGGCTCCTCTCTTCATGGGTCCACAGGTCCTGCCAGGAGCCTGCTCCAGCACAGGCTTCCCACAGGGTCACAGCCTCCTTCGGGCATCCGCCTGCTCTACCATGAGGTCCTCCAAGGGCTTCAGGTGGATATCTTCTCTGGCACCTGGAGCACCTCCTTCCCCTCCTTCTTCACTGACCTTGCTGTCTGCAGAGTTGTTTCTCTCACATATACTTAGTCCTCTCTACAGCTGCAATTGCTGTTGCGCAGGGTTTTTTTTCCCCTTCTTAAATGTTATCACATAACACTGTCACTAACTGGCTTGGCCGTGGCCAGCAGCGGGTCCATCTTGGAGCCAGCATTGGCTCTATTGGACATGGGGGAAGCTTCTAGCAGCTTCTCACAGAAGCCGCCCCTATAGCCACCCGCTGCCAAAACCTTGCCATGCAAACCCAATTCAACTACTGTTATCTTTGAGAAACTAAAAGCTACCAAACACTTCAGAAAGATAAATCTGTCTAAAACTGTGTGAATTCATGACAGTTACTTTGATCTCACTCCATATTTTTCTGTGTATCTGATTGCAGCCCTTCTATAATAAGTGCAGTCTTGAACTTGTGATCTTAGAAAGTGAACACATGAACCTAAAAAGAGCAAAAGATGTTCACCAGCCTTATCTGTGTGAAACACCTGAAGCAAGATTCTCAGAGTCAAAAAATGTGTTTGAATGAAGAGTCTTCTAACTTGCAGCAGTGCTGACTTAGCAGTGAATGGGATAAACAGGAACACACAGGAAAAGTTGAATTTTAGATCAGGGTTCTTTACTCAAAGGCAAAATACAACACAGTTTATTTAATTTTGAAATTTTCTCATTAATAATAGAATAAATCTTATCGCTTAATACTGCTTGTAAAACACACCAGTTATAAAAACATTCCTGCTTTCACCAGCAAAACCAGTGTGAGATGGTATTTCATCAAGGTTGAATACCCCTAAATTTTTTTAAGAGAAAACCCACTGCAGCTAGTGTGACTTTTGCTACCTAGCATTATTGTCTTCTCTTTAGTAAGATGCAAGGAAGTTTGACTTTCTCATCATGTCATGTCCCAATGTTCAGAGACTTTTTAACACTGCAATACTGTAGTCTTGTCCCAGTGCTGCTCCTTACTCTCAAAAACATTTTGTTCCCTAAGCCACCTGTTTTACAATCCAAATTATAAGAAGAGTTTCACTGTCCAGAAGAGAGAAGTTAATAAGATGTCTTTTCACTAACAGTGAATTTGTCAACTTCTATTTTAAGCAAGTGGAAATAGTAAATGTATTTTGGGTGGATTGCTAAGTACACTGAAGTCTGCCATCTAACCAAGATGGGCAAGATTAGCCAACACCGGTACCCAAGACTTGCAAGGATATCACGCAATAGCAAAAAGATAAATTCACCTCATATTCAATCAGTTTTTATTGAAATTTCCAGCATGAAACCCAATAATGTGTATTCTCTTTTTTATGCATGTGCAACTTTGATTTTTTTATTTGAGAAACAAAGTCCAGTCTTCTTTCTCTTGATCCAGCAAAAAAAATAGTTACATAATAAGTGTTTGTTTTCACTTCCTGTTGCACGGGAGTAAGCAATGCAGAAATGTAAAGTTCTACATCACATTAAGAATATGAAACTCACAACCATCAGTCAGCCTCTCCTGTTGTGTGTGTCTAAGAAACTAGCATGGAAAAGTTGGATCCATTTCTGCTATGATCACTTTTATACTGCTGTTCACTCATTTTGCCCAACTGACATGTTTTTTCACTCTTCAGTTTCACCTAACTCAGTCTAAGCTAACCTGGAAGTAAATGTAACTAAGATGAGAACAGGAGCCAGATTTCAGGGGAGTAAGTCTAATTTACATTATGTGTTGCTCTGAAGTGAAGCACACTGGCTGGAATTTTCAGGCAACTGCAAGAAACATGTGAAGCTTTATTGTTCTTGTTTAATCCATTTCCTTCATTGTCTGAAAATCCAACAGGGGAACACTGATATAAATTTTATAAATAGCAGTTCCCTTGCCACATATACTCACACTGCACTCAAATACTAGTAAAACATTCTTGTCAACTCACCAGGTGGGGGTCTGAAAGTATTAAGACTGCTTAAGAGACTAAGCAATGCCTATGCTTCAGCTTGCTGTCAGCTACTGTGTTTAATGCATAAAAAAGTAGCTAGCACCATTAGTTAAGTGCAAGTCCTAGTTACAGTATAAAAAATAGATGAACAGCCTCTACCATCACCTCAGCATGGTGCTTAATGGCTGCTTGAAGGTACCATCTAATCTTTTGGATGGGTTAATTGTTTCTTTCTTCACAGTTCAAAGGAGAAGAGTGGTTATTAAGCCTGGTGTTCTCACAACATTTTCAGAGTAGAGCTTCACTGAATAAAAAGTACCACTTAGATTAGTAAGGATAGGATCTAAGGTTTATACAACACTTGCTGTTGGAAAGTTAAACAGAAAGGAGTTTGCTGACCCTTATAGTCTTGTAAGTTTATGTTTGAGGAGCATGAAATTCCTCAATCTTGAACAAGCTGAAATATCAGATCCCAAACTACTGACTGCTAAACAAAAAGCAAATAAAAGCAGACAACGTTGCTGACAAGGTATTTCTCCTTCCAGTCATCATTTCATTTCAGTATAATTATTTGTTTTAATTACTCTTGAAAGATCTGATTTTCTAAACAGCATTGTTTTTAATTAGCAGGGGGATAAGGAATAAGTAGAAGTAACTGGTGGAAAATGGGTATAAGATTTCCTGAATATGTCACTTGCCCAAATGGGTAGCTGCTGAAGGTTGTCACCATCTGATGTTTGTTCATTGGTCTGTGTAGAATGAAGTGGTGATTTGAGTCCCATAGGATTTGGAGAGCACTTGCAGCACAGAAGGCAATAATTAACATCATTGCTGACAGTCTCTGTAACTATGCCACACATTGAATAGGGACGAAAATGTAATTTACTTTCTTACCCTTCAAGGTTTTGTTCCTTCATGTCAGAGTTCAGTCAGACTGGAGGAGCAGCCAAAGGAAATTTGTTTTATCTGGTGCCCATACTATGCTTGTTCTTTGCAACAAAGCAAACATTTCATCTTCTAGAGCCAGCAAATCAAGCAATGCTTACAAACATAATCCCTTCCAAATGAAATTGAAATCCAACTTAGATAACATCAACAGATAACAAATCCATGCTTTTAAAGGAATGATAACAAGCTTTAGGCATTGACAAAAGTAGAAGTGAGGCAAAAGGCAATACTTCTGTGGTACCCTTCTTTGTCATACTTTTAGCTGTACTGGAACTATAGCCCCAGTGAAATTTGTCCGTGCATGAAAGTTTTCCACACCACAAAACTCAAAGTGGAGATAGCTGTCAAGGACACTTACAGATCTTTCTCTAACTTTTTTATTTCTGGTTGCCTGAACATTTTCTAATGAGAGTAGACTCTTTTGTAGTGAATTTAAGATGATGATAATAGATTTGCTTTGGGAGAAAACCACTACATCACTGCAAGAAAAGTCATTCACTGGCCATGAACAGGCTGGCAAGGTTACCATGTGGTGAATAAATGAATTTGATGACATGCTTAGTTACGCAGATTTTATGGACCAGATATGCCACTTAATAATTGCTACAGGGAACAAGAATCGACCTACTGTGTAAAATTGTCAATGAATTTATTGGACCCAGCAGAGATCATGAATTTCGCAGTTTAGTTTGCCAAAACACCGAGTAATTGAAGCTTAATCCTCAAAACTACAATAAAGTACTTTTAAAGTTTGTCCTGTATTTGCTAAGTTTATTGAAAGTAGGAATAGATACACTGCCTGATTATTGACATGGTATATTTCTTATTCTAGGTTCTATCCTTAGGGGCTGATGTTCTACCAGAATATAAACTCCAGACACCTCGCATCAACAAGTTTACTATATTGCACTATAGTCCTTTCAAAGCTGTCTGGGACTGGCTCATTTTGTTGCTGGTAATATATACCGCCATATTCACCCCTTACTCTGCTGCCTTCCTTCTGAATGATAGTGAGGAACGGAAGAGGAGAGAGTGTGGATATTCTTGCAGCCCACTGAATGTTGTAGACTTAATTGTGGATATTATGTTTATCATTGACATTCTAATAAACTTCCGAACAACATATGTAAACCAGAATGAAGAAGTGGTAAGTGACCCAGCAAAAATAGCAATTCACTACTTCAAAGGCTGGTTCCTAATTGACATGGTTGCTGCAATACCTTTTGACCTGCTCATTTTTGGCTCTGGCTCTGAAGAGGTAAGCTTAAATGAATAAGAAATCTTAAATCTTAAGTTTTGACTTTACTAAAATAATCTGTATATCCTAATATGTTTTTGCTTGTCAGTTAATAGGCTGTTCAGTAGTTCTACCCCATCTTTTAAAGTTAAACTAAAATTAAATCTACCTTAGTAGAATAATGTAGAATATTAGCTTTCATTGACAGGAAAACAAGTTGCATGATTCAGCTAGTATTTTTCAATTATACCATATTTGATGCTGTCTTTACAAATAATGAAATAAATATATCATGTATGAAGGTTTTGTTTAAATGCTTTTTTTTAAGAACTGCTCCTTTGATTTGCTGCTTGCTTTGTAAAAACTGCTCATAATGCATATAAGTGTTGTGCTGGCATTAAAAGTAAATTCTATCTGTTCAAAATCTTTAGATCAGAGGCTTACTTAGTGTAAAACAGATTAGTTGTAGTGTAAAGTATACCAGTTAACAAAAAGATTTGGCTGATGTCTATTTTATCAAGAATTTGGACTACCAAAATAAAGGAAAAAAGATTATATGGGGTTAACCTTGCCAGACATGACTAATGTCCTCACCTTCTCTGTACAATAGGTTAAAAAAGTGCTCGATATACGCATCCAAAATTTGCCCAAATGTGTATAAAACATACGCTGTGTTCTGGATGCCTGACCCAGTTCTGCCTCCTTCCAAAGATTTTTGTTTAATTTAAGAAGGGCTAAAGTTATATTTTTTGATGAAAAGTGAACTGACAAGTACAGAATTAGCTTTTTTTGTCATGCATAGAATACAGCAGTTTAAAAAAAAAAAGCAGCAAACCAAGCAAAATATGATCCATTCACTTTTCAAAGGTCACAAATCCATTTCTTAAAAATACTGTTTTGCACATATTGACATAAGGGAAACAGACAGTTTTGTCAACCATATGTGCATCTCATTAATTGAGAAGAGAAAGGTGAAAACTACAAATTAATCAGCAACCTTTAGCATGAAAATTTGCTGATCTGACTGTATGCCTCTGTGTCACAATACAAAGAATGCAAAAACGTTTTAATTTTATAATTAATTCCTTTTTATTAAAGTCATTTGCTGTGACAGCAAATATTTTTATGTCCACTGCAAAAGCCTGATCTGAATTCTGAGCATACCTTAGCTATCCTCACAAATTACATGTAAACTCAATTAAGTATGCCTTTAATGGTCAGTATAAAACAACTGGCACATAGCTACATGTACCTTGAGAGTCTTGTGAGCATATTCAGTCTTAAAAAATTCAGAAGTAGGATGAACATGAGTCATGCTTTTCTTAAACTCATTTTCTTAAATTTTATATAATGAGAATGTTTTCCTGTCTCCTGTACCTCTTAAAAATCATTGTAATAATATGGTCTAATTCAGCAGTCATAGAAATCAATAGTAACATTCCAATAGTGATATTCCTACTAATTTGAACCTGAGTGTACACACTCAAGGTAAATGAGGAATCTGGAGAAACGTGCAGGTAATATCATGCAGTAGAAATAAATTTTGTGAAGGGAATGCAATAAGAAGAGAGAGAGTAGCATAAAAGACAGAGGTAACGTTAATAGTTGTCTTACTAAAAGAGAACTTTTCTATTCAGAAGGTGACTAAAAAGCTCGGAGATTCAAGAGAAACTTTGATCACTTTTTGCATTTGTTAGCTGTGGTAGGTCTCAGTCTTTCTGCAGATTTTTTTCTGTGGTTTTGATAGCACAGACACATGAAAGACAAACATTTTGACAATGGCATTACTTCTAACCTGGACCACATCATTCCCCTTCAGGTGTGGTCTGCATCCCTTTCTGATCACTGAGCACTCATCACTGCCAAAAATTATGTTCAGTGATTGGAAGTGTGGAACATCAAGAATTACAACAGGGACCAATTCCAAAGTTCATTGAAGGAGTACTCTTTGGATTTGACCCTGAACATCATTCCTCCACACCTCCCCTGTTACAGACGTCCTTAAGAGTAAAGTGCCAGGTGCTAAAATGATGCTAAAGGGATAACTTTAACATAGGATAACATTCCAAATTAGTACCAAACAAGTGCATTCTGGCAAGTGAGTACACAAATACAAAAACATGGAACTTGGAACAGAAATCATTGGACCATGTAATGACTTTTTCAGTATTGCAGATATAAGTAAGTTAATTCTTTATTCCCTCAAAACCTAGTAATCGAACAGTTTCATGACCTGGACAGATTAGGACCAGTTCACCATGCCATCATGACTTTCTCTCATTCATGGTATTGAATATGTCAATCACTTTTTCTAAGCTGCTACTTACTGCAGTTTTGCTTCCTACATTGCTAACTATATTTCCCCAACAATCCCTTTTTGATAGTTTAGCAAGAAGCAAACATAAAACTGTTAGAATGGAGCATTTTTCATTTAATGGAATTTTTTCAGTCACAAGGGTTATCTTTTTTATGAAATAGCTCTTTTTTGTTATCTAGAGATTCTTCAAATAAGATCCCCTATGAACAATTGTATTGAATACTCTTTTTATTAAACACCATAAGCTCCAAAGAGAGCTCCATGTGTGCTCACCCAGCTTTAAAACACCTTGATATCAAACCGCATCTAGAAAGGGCAGGAGATAATAATCCAAATACCACATGCAGCACTATGTGAATACTTCTATTTGAGCCATACTTTGTCAACCATAGGAAAGCAACAGAGTAAGACAGTTAACTTTCCAATTTCTAAAATAGAGAACTAATGTAATTTTAATTTTTTTTTTTTTCTGTTCAAACAGACTCAACACAAAATGATTATGGCTGGTAGTAAACCATTCTCTTTTTTGTGTGTGTATATTGTAAATGTTAAGTGGCACCCCTGATACTTGGGAAGATAAAAATAATGAGTAGATGGACTTTTTACTTTCTATCCTTTTGGTAGTTTATTTTCAATCATTCTGCTCAGCTGAGGAGTCTGGACTGGATTTTAAACAAATAATAGTTGTAGTGGCACAGCTCCTTAAAGCACACGCATAGATGATGTCCATGTACAAGTGGAACACTGCTTAAGATTACTAGATATTTTTAGATATATGCATTTAAAATAATGTACTTTTTAATGTATTGATCAGCTTTTCAATTCAAAGACAGGTACGTTGTAGGGAAAAATCAGATGGATATATAGATGGACAGAGTTTCTTCCCTTTCATCTAGAACCTACTGTAATAAAAAATACAAACAAGTGATGGTAACAGCTTCAGCAAGAAAATTTTCATATTTATAGTTTTATTAAATTGAGGCCAGAGAGAACACTCAGCTGAAATATGCAGAAAAGCTTGAAGGCTTTTTCTTTCTGTTTGAACAAATAATAGTGATCAGAGCTATTTTACAGAACATAATTAAAAAGCCTATCAACAGGAAAAATGCTGGCTTAGAAAATAAAAATAAATACATCATGATGTATATATCCAGCATATTCACAAAATGTAGGAGTGAATGTGTCTTCTATTCGTAGCAATAAATCAAGAAAATAGATGGATTTGGGCTAAAATGAAGACATATAAATCAAAGTATTCTTGTTGTTCTCTTAGTTTTGACATCTTCATTTCACTCCATTGCACAGTGTATCTGTTAAAGCAAACTGAAAAGAAGAATCCCACATTTCTAGAATTAGAGATTGAACCTCATAGTCCTGACTGCATCTCCACTGATAGAATCAGTACTTTACCCCCTTCCAAATTAAAATATATTTGAAAATCAAGCTCAGAAAACATCTCAGGAAGAGAGTAATATAGTTTCCTGTGCTCAGTTCAGCAATTTACTTGGAAAACCTATTCCAATGAATTTCATCTTTTACACTGAAGACTGCATAGCTGATCATACAGGTAGTCTGCCTTTGCATTAGCAACCCTGTAGACTGAGTACAGTCCAGGATGATGCAGCATCAGGGTAGAGTCTCTGGAAATTATTTAGGTGGCTGGCTAATATCAGAGAAGCATTTATTATCAACTTTTTCTTCCTTTAATTGTTTTTCAAGACGAAGCAAAGAGGAACCCCAGCACTGCTTGAGCAGGCATTTATTCATAGATCATTTTGGCAGTCCTTTCTCAATGGCAGTTGAAGTACCAGTACCCTGCTATAAATAAGAACTTTTGGTTAGTTGAAATATTTTTGTTTAATTGCTATTTGTACTAGCATTTTGAGTATCATGATGCATACAGCATAAAGAGCTTCAACCATGACACAGTACTCAGAAGATGCTATTAAGGCAATGGAGCATAGACTGAAAGGCCAAATTCTGGCATGTATTAGAGATTTTTCCAAGAAAGAAAAAGGAGTTAACTATGCTTGATGCTACAGTACTTGTATTTAATAGATTTACTTACAGACTGAAAAAAGGTAGAAGGTTGATAGTGGTTTTAACATAAAATATAGGTGACAGGAAATTATTGGGAAACCAAAGACCTTACAATACCAAGAAACTAGAAAGGACCCTATAGCAGATGAAACACTGTGTAAGCAAGCACACATTAACACATATTGGAAGAGACAGTTTGAAATACTCATACACATCAGTGGGTTATTTGGTTTAGAAAAGAGAGAAATAAGAGATAACATTTTAGATTTACACATTAATAATAATGGATGTTATGAGAAAGAAAGGAAAAAAAAAAAAAAAAACACACAAAAATCTAGAGGAAACCTAAGGATTTGGCCATCAGTGAGAAAGTCATGAGATGTAAATGGCTTTTTGCACAGGCAGAATACCATTTATGCAGATAATTAATTAGGTGATACCAGCTCCCTCTTCTAGTCTGATACAATAATAACTTCTGAATGATACCCTCTGCAATCAGATAGACTGATGCCCTCCTCTTTCTAATCATGCTGTAATCAATTGCTGTCCATCAAAATAGCCCCCTGCTGTGGCCATTTCAGCATCAGGGCTTGAGAAATTGAGGGTATAAAATAATCTCACTGTTAAAAAGAGAAGAATAATCACAGTTAAGGATACCTCCTTGTAATATATAAGGATTTTGTAAAATGAATTCAGTCACCTATACTTAGAAAATGAAATATCCATGAAGTCCTGTTTTTAGAAGGTGATTTCTTTCTCCCAGAGAGAAAATAGTTGACAAACTTTAACGTTTCTCAAGCTTCTTATTTGCAGAACTGAATAATTATTCCAAAACAATTAAAGATATCTTCTATGTGGTTACTTAGCTTGTGCAGACAACCATGTAGGCATGAAAGAACCATTGTAGGCATAAGGTTTTGTTTATTTTTTGTGCTATTGCTAAAGTCAAAACAGAAAAAAAACAATACACTTTTAATCCAGGCCTCCCTCTTGTACTATAGCTAGAAAAAATCAAAAGGCATTTTAAAAGGCCAAATAGCACAATAACCAAACAAGGCAAAAATATCAAAATTACATTGACTATACTGGTTAATGAAATGTTAGATTGGTAGATTAGAATATATGAATAGTGCAATGGAGAAATCTAAGCTGATCTTTTTTTTTTTTTTCTTTTTTTTTTTAATTTGGAATGAAAAACTAAATTTGGGGAAATAGAATGTTTTGGCAGAACCTATTTAAAATGGGTCTTACCTTAAGACCTTTATCTTTTTAATAAATCTTACCAATTAAAAAAGATTTCTTCAATGTATTATAAGGATTTTAGATTCTGAAAGTACTTTAATATGTGCCATGGTCCTAATGAATGCCAGTTTAAGCAAACAGTTAAGTGCCTTTCATAAATGGAATACTGTTTGCACTGAATATACTATAGTGGGGGAGAATGATCCTGTACCCATCTTCTACCAATTCAGATTCAGAGTTTCAGTAGCTATGTATGTGCTTCTGGCTCAGAGTAAATGTTGCTACCAAAAAAAAAAAAAATTAAAAAATTAAAAATCCTCATGTGAGTATCCAGCAACTCTTGAACTTGTAGTCCAGCTGAGAAAGCTAGGTATGATGAAAACAGAGCAGCAAGCAATTCAGAGAAAAGAGTAGCATCTATCAGATTGCTGTTTGCAGACATTAATTGATGGTACCAGATGGGGTAAGGTGGGTAACTGACAGAGGAGGACCTCTGCCTCCTTGAGTGCCGTGCTGAGCAAAGTATTCCAGCACACCAAGGAAATCATTGCATTGCACAAGGCTAGTTCTGACACCAAGTACTTCTGTCCCTGGCCAAGTGACACATGGGAGGTGGACTGTTACTGTGTGAAGGCTACATCTACACTGAGAAGTGGACATCATGTAAAGGGACACCAAAACCTATGGATTGTGCTTTCCACCTCTACTGCCAGCTGTTTTTAGTGTCAAAGCCCCTCCACTGCGTTAAAGAAAATTCAAACTCAGGATGAGTTTCTTAATGCTTTAAAGCATATCTAGTCTCACTTATGCTGATTTCGCCCTGAAGACATGGAGTTGGCTTGTTCTATATAGCTCCCGCATACTCCAGAGCTCACACTGATGCAGTATCTAAGCATGAGATTGACACCAAGGGTGCGTAATATTACCAAGTCTTACATTAAGAATGGGGTGGAACACTGTTGACATATTTTGGGTTCACAATCTACCTTCTGATCTATTTAAGGGGTACTGTAAGAATATGTTGCCTTTTGCATGGTGTAGAGATATGACTACATCTGTAATAGAATAGTTCCAACACCCCACTAGGAACAAATGTTAGCTTTTCTTAAGATTGCTCTTTTACTTAAGGGATCATATTGAAGCCTGATCTACCTTACCAAAAAAATGTACCTAATGGCAATATTCACATGCTGAAGCTCAGCCTAGGCATAGCTTTTTGAAGGATATGGTCTTTCAGACTGTTGAAGTCACAGTCAGCGAAACAACCTTCTTTATGTGGCAATGAGACATTCACTCTGAAATTATTCTCTGTGATGTTAAGCTGAACCAAGGAATGTTGCCCAGTGTAACCCTATATTATCCTCTTGCTCATTTACTCAGAAAATATGAACAATATATTGAGCTGTCCACTGACAAATGCAGCCAAGAAAGCCTCTTTTTTTGTTCCAAGGGCTTTGGGATTTTACTCAGAAACATGTTAAATGCAAGGATTTAATAAAACATAAAAAATAGTCTAGTACTTGTTGAAAGAAAGCTTTAATGCGACACATACTACCAGCAGAGTGGTTTGTAAGTCTCAGAAAACTTTTCCAGTTAAGTGTTATGTAATATACATACATGTTTAAAAAAGGAAGAAAAAACTTATTAAAAACATATTCAGTCTTGACATTTACTGAATACTTTAATATATGTTCAGACTTAATGGAGGGAAAAAGGTAGATGAGTTCTTTTTGAAATTGAGTAGTTACTATTTAGAATGTTGTCAATCTCTTTTACAAGGAATTAACAAGTGTGAAAATTATTTACTGATTGAAAATTGTACATTTACATTAATAAACGTTAAATTCCTTTAAAAAGATCAGAGCCTCAAAGAGGCTGCAATGAATCATAGTGCAGGTCTGCACTAAAAAGCTTGGAATATATTCCTGGTTTATAAATGACCCATTTTTTTTTTAATGGTATAGTACTTTTATTAGTGGTTTCTACCACACACCTGCAAGCTTCAGGATGAAAGATGTAAAAAGAAGATTAATCTGGAGTCTGGCAACAGTAACTTTTCCATGATTTTCTATTCTATGAACAGTGGTTCATCTTTTACCTGTATAGAGTGTTCTGACCATTACAAACAGGAGGAATATTTGCAGAATAAGATACTTACTCTTTGGGACATTTCTGCCCTATTACTTCTCTCTTCTAGAACATGTGTGCCAGAGCATTGCAAGGAGTCTCCAAGTTAGGATCAAATATAGTCACACAGCTTTGTTCAAATATCATAAATACTTACTACCTACAAGGCCAGTCATATGAGTAGTTCCAATAACTTACAGACTTTATCATGCCAAAACATCATTAATCTAATAGATCATTTAAGTCCATTAGGGTGGATTGAAGAGTCCAGATCAAGAATAATATTCAAAATTAAAGAGTTTTCAGCAGATAATGACAGCTTCAATATGTCTTAATTTAAAATGTGCATTTCTTATTGTTTTCTTCACTGCTTTTATAATAAAATTGGTAGTTTAAAGAAAATGAAATTAAGATTACATTGAAATGGGTTAATCTACTGGTTTTGTTGATTCCCCATAATAATGGAATTTGCACTGGTTTATTCATGCTGACTATTCATGACAGTACATTTGCTAACAGAGAAAATAAATTTCTATCTTATTTTTACAGACAACAACACTAATAGGTCTTCTGAAGACAGCTAGACTGCTGCGTTTGGTGAGGGTAGCACGGAAATTGGACAGATATTCAGAATATGGTGCTGCAGTTCTGATGCTCCTTATGTGCATATTTGCACTAATTGCACACTGGCTTGCTTGCATTTGGTATGCCATTGGAAATGTAGAAAGACCTTACCTGGCTCACAAGATTGGCTGGTTGGATTCTTTAGGAGAGCAATTGGGAAAGCATTACAATAAGAGTGATGCAAGCTCTGGACCGTCCATCAAGGACAAATATGTTACAGCACTTTATTTTACCTTCAGCAGTCTGACAAGTGTAGGATTTGGAAATGTGTCTCCAAACACCAACTCAGAGAAAATCTTCTCCATCTGTGTCATGTTGATTGGCTGTAAGTAGTTTTATCTATTTTTTTTCTTCTTTTATTCTCAGTGTTTGAGCAAATGACTTAACAGTCTAAGATAATAACATTATAAGCATGCAGCCAGAAGGGCAAATTCCTAGGGAAAGCAATGTTATATGCGAAAATACGTTGTGACTCACGCAGTGTCAGGAAGTAGTCAAGTTGCTTGACTACTCAAAATCTGTTATCCAAACTGTCAGAAGTTTTTAGCTGTGTATCAGTGCCTGTAAGCAAATCCTGTATAGGGTAGGACACTGAGTTTTGAGTGGAGTTAGGAAACTATAGCCCATCATTTTTGGATAATCATAATTATATTTTATTTGTTGATTTAAACCCTGAACCTATAAATGTATGTATACCTTCTTAACTCTGCCTTTTGTTCTTAACTTGTACTTAACTTTAGTTCCTAGTTCTTAGTTCTACCGAAGTCTGTAAAATTAGATGAACCTGACTTACAACACTAAATTCAGGACTACAAATCTCCAAAGATAAATATTACCAACCTGATTACGATTTAATATTTAAGCCTCATCTGCTAACTGAGTTGGTACTGATACAGTCAAATCAATAAAAACCTTCAGGTAAACCAATTCCACATCTCTGAAAATGTTACTAGTTCATCTGAGCTGTTTTACTTATGAAGTACTTTATGAGAACTGTTGCATCATCTGCAAAACCCAATGATATGACTTAAATTTTGTTTCTATTTAATCCAGCATTAATGTATGCTAGCATTTTTGGAAACGTATCTGCAATAATCCAAAGACTCTACTCGGGAACTGCACGGTATCACATGCAGATGCTGCGAGTAAAGGAGTTTATTCGTTTTCATCAAATCCCCAACCCTTTGCGGCAGCGACTTGAGGAATACTTCCAGCATGCATGGACATACACCAATGGCATTGACATGAACATGGTATGTTGTTCTATTTTTCAGGCATGGGTGCTGAGGAATAGATAAATGCATGAGAATTTAGAAAGAGATTGTAAGTTTACATTATTTATGAGCTGTAAAAGTACAAGCTTAAGAATATACATAACAAGATATATAGCAATTTATGAAAACGAAGCCATTACAAGCTTGGCATCCAAACATTTAACTGCCTAGATTATTACAAGCTAAATCACAAACCTGAACTATCACTGTGCATAGGAAAGCTTGAGAACTGCAGTTGACTATTATAAACTTAAGACAAGAAAAAAAATCATAGATTTCTTCTTTCAGACATAGCTGTTCCAGAAGTTATTTTGTTCTTTGGCCTGATTTTCCACTTCCAGTATCAAACAGGAGTACCTTTGTTGGTATCTACACAGTTACTCTTCTATAAAGCCTGTGGAAATAAATTCTTTTTCAGAATCCTATTGTGTAATCTAGAACAGGTATATTAGGGGTGGGTGAAAGAGAGGAGCAGGCAGGTGGATTAGCTGCTCTTTTCGGAGTGAAACATTCTAATCATTTGATAGACTGAACAGTAGTTCGCTTGCATTCACAACCACATAATTCTGCACTGAAAGTCAACACAGTACTACTAACTATTTAGCAATCCACAGAATCTCATTTGTAGGAAGTGGCAAGGTACAATATTCATATTTTCTGTTCTTGATTAAAAATTGTAAATGCTCCTTATATAATAATATATTATGTGGCCAACTGAAAAGGTATAGCAATCTGCTAATGAGCAAAAGTAAGCACATGTATTTCTGGCTTATTTTCTGGAGAAAGCAACATTTTTTCTGAAAAGTTGACATAGGTTTGAAGACACTGAGAGCATTGTGCATCTTAAGGATCTGTGAATTTGTGTCTCTAGAGGGATGATTTCCAGAGCTATTCTGAGTTATAGAGACTTTGCAGAGCTCTCCATAAAGTTGACAAGAACAAGAAAATCTCAATATTTTCGTAACAATTGAACTAGAAATCAACCTCCAAAATTTTGACATAAATTCAAACAACTTCCATGTGGTATCTGTACATACATTTGTGAATGACTGTCAGAGTGGTACACTTTGATGCAGTAAGCAGAAACAATGGTCTTGATTAAAAGTTTTTATAAAGCTGAATCACTGACAGCTTGACTTTATGATTACCATTAAGTAAAGCAGATCTTAAAAGTAAGACAGCAAATTAAATATACCGGGCTTCACCTCCCACTTCCGTGAGTGTCCCCTCCAGAGGCATATTATACCCAGCACAGGACAAAGATACTTGTATAAACCTCTGCCAGGGATTACTGCAGTGGAAGGCAGCATCAGTAGCTTCATCCTGCATGGTGCTGAATGGCCCTAATTCCCTCTGATGGCAATGGGATTGTGGGGTACTCAGCACTTTGCAGGATCAAGCCCTTAAGCTGCAGGTGGGTGCAGCCTAAGCTTAAAGTAGCTCATTGAATTATTTCTGAAGATATTACAGAATCACGTACACTTTAACCAATTCATTACCACTAACGGATGTACTAAGAACACTTGTTTCACATGAAATAGTAACTAAAACTGGATATTGTCAGGTTAAACTTTGCATAATGCAGGAATTGGTGTACTGTAATTAGTATTGGATTTGTCATTAATGTGAAATATTAACTAAATGGATTAAACAGCCCATATTCTGCAATATGATTGTGAGGCAGTATGGAGGCTTTGTTTTAAATAAAATGTGAAAAAAATCAAGTTTAGTATCTTGTTTTGTTATATTTTATTTCTTATTCTGTTCACAATTCTATCCCTCAAGTTTTATGGCAGTCACTTAATTTTCTTTAAAAAGTGAGTTTGAATATATTACATGTAGTGCAAGGATAATGTAAGAACTGTGTGATTTATGTTGTACTTATGAAAGATTTATCTCTTTCCTGTCTGCTTCATACCTAAATACATGGAATAACACCACCCACTGGTAAGAGCAGGAGGTATTTATATCCAATTTAATTCCAGTATAAAGTGTGGAGAATATCCATGTTATCTGTCGGGTTTAGAGCTTGTTCAGTGCTTTCTAATTTTAATTGTAACTTTTTGCATGATGAAGGGGAGGATAGCAAAGGGAAATAATCCAAGGAGAATCAGATGTGGGGCAAAATGGTTACTAAAAATTAGACATTAAGAAATGCTAATCTAACTACATTTATTAATCACTGTTTTACCCCACAACTCAAATCATGCTTCTCTGCCCAAAAAAGGTCATGTGCATATTGGTTTGCATTAGATAGCTGCTCTGTAGGAATGTCACTGACAAAGTTGCCATGCTGATCATTCTGCATTTTCCTTTGCATGAATGCTCTTAGTTCAAACCATAATGCATGATAGCACAAGCACCAATGAAGTTTTCTTGGCTATAAGCCATGTGCATATAAAACGGACTTGCATGTGGTATTAACTTAATTTTGCATGAAATATTTGCATTTACACACCAAAGGGCTAATACTGTCCTCAGACAAATGTGTTTGACTCCTGTCAATATTTACTAGGAGTTTTTTGCAAATATCTGAAGGCAGAATTTGATCCAGTGTCTTTCTTTTTCCATTTCATGACTGAAAACTGAATAAAATTCAAAAATTCAGTCCTCTTTCTCCTTTGAAATAAGAAATGCATGAATAATTTACATTTTATATATATATATGTACATGCAATGTATACACACACACATACTCATATATATATATAAAAATAATATTAGATAATGTGTTTCAGAAGATGCTTTTAATTATGATCAGTAATATACTTATGAATGCAGGAAAAGTGGAAAAAAAACCCCAACTTTTAACCTCAGGAATAATACTGCACTAAGACTAAATAAACTTGATTTCCTAAACAAAATCCTAAACTTTATATTGGAAACCAGAAGATAATACTTTATGCTCATTTGAAATGGCTAAACTTAAAATTAGCGTTAAAGATCTGCAGGTGAAATACGCTGAGAACATTGTTTATTCATTCATTTGTTCCCCTCTGCTTCATTTCTACATCTCTCTGATTATGTTTCATTGCATAATGTATTTTGATAAAGACAGTTCCACATAATTATGCATGGACTGGATAAACAGGATTTGGGATTTATTTTAATCTGGATAAAAATCTTGAGTCTATAGAATAAGCATAATTTAAATCATATCCCTGTGGTATACACTGGCAAAGTTAAATTACGAAAAAATTATTTACAGTGTATATTGTTTCATGAAAGATGTCACCAGCCCCAAGGATTCAAAGATATTTTATTTTTTAAACTATCCTGTTCTGTTTTTCCTAAACTCTCTTTGCCTTCTTTTCCCCCCTTCATTCCAATGTTATCAGCTCAGCACTGATAATAGCATGCCTGTGATGCCTAGTGTTTAGTGTTTGAGATCCTTTTTTAAGTTATGCATGTATTTTTTACAATCCTGCCCCGTTCTTTCCATGGATCTTCTGTGCATCTGAATAGCTTTATTGGTTTATTTTACCTTTAAAAAGAGTTCAAAGAAGTAAACAAGTGGGACAAGCTTTGCAAAGTGTTTAGCCAAATGTACATGTTAATTAAAATTTTGGATGTTGGACAGATACCTTTTTATTTTGGGTTTTACCCAGTACCATGACAGGAGAGAGCAAGCCAGAACTTTTATGCATAAATTTATGGAATCACCTCCTGCAAGCATCCAAGCAAATGGTCAATTTTACACTTGTGATAAGTTGTCTTCACCACAGTGATCATGAAAGTACAGCAGAGCACACACCTATCTTGAAGGTTCAGAACCAGCAATGCTACTGTGTCAAATAAAGGGCAGGTTCACCATTGCTTTGGTAAGGCTTCTTCTGTGAGAAATTGGCCACGGGTCACTGGATGACACCACTACATTTGTTATTCTTGCTTTTCCTCCTGCTGTGATCACTTTTTATGACAAAAACAATTCTACCAATAGAACTATTGCCAGTAATATTTTTGAACCAGAGAATTAGAAAAGTAAATTAAAATTTCAAAAATAGCAAGGAGAACTTCCTTATACCATCAGAACAGTAATCCAAATTAGAAGTGGTCAGAACAAAAACTAGTAGTAATTGATTAAACAGAGGGAATATGTAATAATGGTGGAAAGTGGTACTGCTATTTGTCTACATGTCATAATGGAAATCATAAGCATGTAAGCCTATCAGAAAGTACCTCAGATACGATTAGCTGTAAAGCTGTTCTTCATTTTCTATAACAAGACCACCTTAAAAACATGAATGCCTACATTTAATCGAGTTACAGAAAAGAAGACCTCATAAAAAAAAAAGACTTTCAAAATGTCAATCTATTTGCAAAGTGATCCTTTATCAGTTTCTCACTGCATTGTATTTTGTGGTCTCATGTCTCAAAAACAAGAGGAATTAACAATTTTCCAACTATCATTATATCTTTGGAAAAACATGGATCCAGTCAGCTTCCAACTTCTACAGACATTAAACTTTTCTGTTGATGAGGGAGTCAACAGTCTAAGAAACTGAAATCATTTTCTGTCCTCCTCACCCAGCAGTGTATCATATCTCAGAGATCACCTTCCAGATATACTCAGAAACTGTAATGAGATTATAGATGAAGAATGATCCACTGCAGCTCCAGTAATTTCAGCATAAAAGTGCCACACAAGTCTGTGTCATGGCAATAACTGAAAGCAAAAGATCCTAATTCTTGATAAGGTTGTCAGACTTCAAATCTCATTGAAAGGCAAATTAGCTCATCATCACACACTACTTCTCTCTCAACTCTTGCAAGGACCTTCTTCATATCCTGCAAAAAAAATTAAAAAAAAAAAAAAGACTGCAACATTTTCCTGTATGAAGAAGAGGAATCATCAGAAATAATCCTTATTCTATGTGGAGACCAAGAGCTGCTGGAGCAGAATTATCACCACCTGTGACCTTGTTCATTCTTTTCTAAATAGTGAAAGCCCTTGGAAATGTTTTGGCCTTCTGCTTATA